ACACTTTGTGTAACATGTGTTACATATTTTGCGATAAATAAAATATTTGTAGGGTTAATTAGAAATGCTTCTTTTCATTTTATTATTGTTGGTATCGTTCCGAACAATGCCACACACAAAAAAACCCGGAAAATATTAAAATTGACGAAAATTCAATTTTTTGGTATTTTTTCCAAAAAAGTCCCCAAACTATCGGAATGTTTAGATTTTCATAAAATCAACTCGATATAGTTGCATAACCATTATATGAAAGTTTCAACGAATTTTGCCGGTTAATTGTGAAAGTGTGGAGCCACCTTAAGCAGATATACTGCCTAATAAATGCATCACCTTTTGGGGAAAAAATCCTAGAGTTATTTCCCCTGACTTACACCCCGAGTTTGTTCTTTCCTACAGGGAGGTTGACGAGAATGACATGCAAGTTGATTGGATTATGACAATGAAGGAAGCCGATGTGGTCAAACAACAGCTGATGGCAAACCTTAATGGTCAAGACAAGGGACAGGTAAGGCAGAGGTTCAAGTTCAAGTTCTTTATTAACTTTAAGTCTTGCGACTTAACAGGCATGAGTGTCAGGGTGTGTAATGACTGCATGGTCAATAAACAGTGATACTGGATGCTGTTACCAAGGTGTGGTCATGGGGCTAGAAGTGACCTTTAGAATTGTTCAGGGTGATATAAAAAAAGGAACTGGCTGTAATCAAAACAGAAAAGTTGCATACCATTCAATTTTTTTTTTTTTTTAAATGTATTATATTTTAAGATATTTTATTGATAAACTAGCTGTGTTTAACTTTGAGGCACATCCTGTATTAATTCTGTCCTGCTTTGTGACAGATGAAGGCAATAGGTAACAGGGTATCTTAAATGAAGATATAGTGTAAGCTGAAATCCTTTGTTTTTTCTGTTTTTTCCTTCCCCATGTGATTGGAATCTACAGGATTTGTGTAACCGTTAATATTCGTGTATTGTTTGCACTCGTGTATAGTGCGCAGGTCCTTTTTGGGTGAAAAAACAACAATTTTTTCTTTTTTCTTTTTTCTTTCAATACTGATATTTTAATCTGGGGGGGAAAATGATAGAGAATGACAACAAAGCAAATAATCTGTTTAGATTACCAGCTCACTAATCTAAAATTCCATAGCATGCTTTAGTATATTAACTGGAATGTGTGATTAGAGGTTTTTTATGTTAAAGCCTGGTGATACAGTGGGGTTTATATAGAAGCTTGATTTGGGTTTTTATTGCAGGGAAACATTAAATATACTTATTAACCATGAATTTTAATCATGATAAACAATACATTTTGTTTTAATAATAAATTCTTAGACCAATTAAATCAAATTCACCTTCTGAATTTTGTTTTCAGAGCTGAATTTGATTGTTAATCACAGTTAAGGATTGACATAAAATTTTTTTATATTCTCCCCAATGAAATTTAAATTGTGCATGGTAGCTACGAGGCTCTTGGCTGTCAGCTGAGTTGATTTGTAGATTTTTGTGCATGTTGTTTTGTCCAGGGTAATATGTACCCTAGCTCTGGATCGGCCCTCACTATGGGGAGCCAAGGGTTGATAAGGAGCACAACCCCGCCCCTAGACATCCCCGTGGAGGAGGCGGAGGCAGACTACCCCATTGACGATGATGATGTAAGTCTGGGCGTGCTGTGATTGGCTGAACCCTCTGCCTCTGTGCTGTTCGCTGGTTCATCGCGTGAATAACGTGATCAATCAAACATGACATGCTTTTGAGTGGGAGGCTTGTACTGTCGTAGTGAAAAGAGTCGTTTTGTGTATATATAGATATATTTATTTTTTTTAAATTCTGAATGCACATCTTTATTTTAATGCACAGCTGCATATGTGTGGTATACTTTTGTTTATATATTTTTTTTTTTAGATTAGAAGTCTCCCCAAATATATTTTATTCAGAAATTGTCACAATGCTTTGGTGTTTAGGGCACACAACATTGAATAAGTCATTACTTCATCAAGGTCTTAAGTTACTGACATTTAATTCAGTCAATGAAACTGTTACAGACAATAAGGAAGTTGAGAAATTCTAAAATGGCTGCTAGACTCTTCAGTTTCTGACTTATATAGACTGGTGGTAATAATTATGTTTATGTGGTGCTCGGGTAAAGTTGGTATAAGTTTATTCTTTGTAAATGAAAAAAAAAAAACACTGCAGTGAATCTTTCAAGTCCAAGGTTTCGGATTTCTTTGATAATGTTTACATCAGAATTTCTGATGTAGTGATCCCGGTTTTCACAATTTCCTTTCTGTTGTTTGTACGATGGTTTCATACGTATTCAAAAGATTTATTGATGATGGATATTGTAAAAGACTAAATGATTAATGGTGAAGTATGAGATCACAGTTACTATTTATAAAAAAAAAATGGAAAAAATGACACAAATTTGCATCCCTGTGTCATCAGACATTTTGGAGTTTTTTCATAAAATCACACCAAAAAAACCTTGGAGTTTGTAATATTACTTATAGAGGTTGTGGTTTTAGTTTTTGGATGCAATCATTTCAGTAGCGGCATTTCAAGTTTTGGACCACTCCCTCATAATTTGTTATTTGCTATTATGTTATTATAATGGGTAACTCCTAACTGCTTTTTCTCTAAAAAAATAAATAAATTTACGTACAAAACAGTAATCCAGCTGTACTTGTTTAATAAACAAAGTTGCAAATCATTGTCTTCATTCATGGAAAGGTCAAACCATTTGTTAGTCTTCATTCATGGCAAGATCATGTGTTAGTCTTCATTCATGGCAAGATGATGTGTTAGTCTTCATTCATGGCAAGTTCATTTGTTAGTCTTCATTCATGGCAAGATCATTTGTTAGTCTTAATTAATGGCAAGATCATTTGTGAGACTTCATTCATGGCAGGATCAGTTGTTAGACTTCATTCATAGCAAGATCATTTGTTAGCCTTCATTCATGGCAAGACCATTTGTTAGTCTTCATTCATTGCAAGATCATGTGTTAGTCTGCATTCATGGCAAGATCACGTGTTAGTCTTCATTCATTGCAAGATCATGTGTTAGACTTCATTCATGGCAAGACCATTTGTTAGTCTTCATTCATGGAAGGATCATTTGTTAGTCTTAATTAATGGCAAGATCATTTGTTAGTCTTCATTAATGGCAAGATCATTTGTGAGACTTCATTCATGGCAGGATCAGTTGTTAGACTTCATTCATGTCAAGTTCATTTGTTAGACTTCATTAATGGCAAGATGATGTGTTAGTCTTCATTCTTGGCAAGATCATGTGTTAGACTTCATTCATAGCAAGATCATTTGTTAGACTTCATTAATGGCAAGATGATGTGTTAGGCTTCATTCATGGCAAGTTCATTTATTAGACTTCATTCATGGTAAGTGCTCTTGTTAGACTTCATTCAAGGCAAGATCATTTGTTAGTCTTCATTCATTGCAAGATCATGTGTTAGTCTTCATTAATGGCAAGATCATTTGTTAGACTTCATTCATGGCAAGATCATTTGTTAGTCTTCATTCATGGCCAGATCATTTGTTAGAGAAAAGTAATTTTGTTAAGAGGAGGAAAATAGATACATAACAATCTTAAAAAATTGTGTGAAAAATATAGAACCAAAACTTCATTGCTCTCGATTGAGGTATTGGTGACTGTAGACTGTTTCAGTGTTACAAAACTACCGGGACTTCATACTAAGAACAAGATCAAACGACAAATTTATTTAACTTATTATTAACCAATTAATTTTGTATATCTGTCAATCACAACAGACAATTTTGGATTTTTTTTTTCCTTTCTCTGTCGCTCGTTTCTTTGGACATAGATGTATGTCTTTTGTTCAACGTATCTCTACTGAGCTAATATTGTTCTAACACACAACAAAATAAATCTTCTGGTATCGTAAGTGATATAAAAGTGATAGAAATTATATTTTGCACACTTATAGATTATAAAAGTATATATATATATATATATAATGCTTACAAGTATATATAACAGGAAACTCACAGAACAATATTTTACTAATACATGTAACACAGTTTTAGATTTTTTCCCTTTTTGGTTTGTATGTATGACTATATTATCTTATATTATATTATATTATGGGTCATAGTTATGGGATTAATTTTGGAGCTTTTTGCAGAAGGCAGCAACTACCAAATCAGCACTTCTGCTAAAAGATTTATTTCAATACTAATATTGATAAAAATGATGATCGGGTTGCAGTTGATCAAGACTGACAAACAGCTAGATCTTCCAGTTTATTTCATTATTTAAAAGCCATTTAAACTGTATATGTTCATTTACTATGATATGATTAATCATTACATTCAGTCCTTTAACAATTGATTACATCATAGACAGTTCCTTCACAAACACAACTGATGTAGCACACACTCGTTTAAAAAACATACCTTGTCAAAAACCATATAGCCATTTTAACAATGCACAGATTACACTTTCTTCTCTTAGCAAGAAAATAACACCTCACTAAATCAATTTTTGATACAGTATGTAAAATATTAAGCAAGAAAATAACACCTCACTAAATATATTTTTGATACAGTATGTGATATTAAGCATGAAAATAACACCTCACTAAATCAATTTTTGATACAGTATATAATATTTAGCAAGAAAATAACTCTGCACTAAATCAATTTATGATACAGTATGTAAAATATTTAGCAAGAAAATAGCACCTCACTAAATCAATTTGTGATACAGTATATAATATTTAGTAAGAAAATAGCACCTCACTAAATCAATTTGTGATACAGTACATAATATTTAGCAAGAAAATAGCACCTCGTTGATTCAATTTGTGATGCAGTATGTAATACTTAGTTTATATATAGTTGATACATATTTTTTTTACTTATTAAGAAAACACCAATCACACTTGTTGTATTTTCCCCAATTCAGTTCCCCATCCACCGTTCTGAAGTTATTTCTATGGCCCCAATTGTAAAATGTGCTGAAAAAGACACTCTTAAAGTTATGTTGTAATAATAATATTGGAATTTATGGAATTTATGTAACTGGTTTTAAATTTTTCGAAATTCTTCTGACATGATTTTTCCTGATTGTTCGATGCCTCTATAACACATTAATTGCATGCATATGTTACCACCAAGTTGAATTGCATGACATTTTTTCCGTGAAAGGAAGTTTAAGTTTGTTTTAATAGGCACCCTCCTTTGATAAAAAGCTTTTCTATTGGAAAAAGGGTGGCACCCTATTTTTACATCAAATGTGTTGATCACAAAGACTGTTTTGTGCTTTCATTATTGTAAAAACCTTGAGGTACCAACCTATTAGTTCATTATGACAGAGTCAGGGCTATTATTGTTTTATGAACTAGAAAAGCATGTGGTAGGTGCTGTAAATGACATTATTTCTATGGATTATATAAAGGAAAATTGAGATTCTAGGTTACTGTGGCAAACAAGTTTGTATGCCCCAACCAGATAGCAGTGGAGAGGCCATTAACCCTTTAACCCCTATGTAACTTTAGTAGACTCTACCATGCATTGATCTGGATGAGTCCATAATAGTCTACAGTGGTGAAAGGGTTAAGTGTTTCGTCTTTTTGGTCTGTCTACTCGATGTCTTGGCCAGATTTTGAATTATACTTCTTTAATACGAAAGTCCTCAGTACATTGTGAAAAGTACTTCACCGTTTAATCAAAAGTAGGTCACTGTGACCTGTATTTTCTGTTTCTGGACTTTTGTTAGTGTTTGGGTTTAGCTCCATTCTTTGGTGAGAAATGCCATTAACTGTTTTCTACATCAAAACAGGAGCATTTATACGTGGAACAAATATATTCTAGTCTCGTCGACTTCTGTACGGTTTTTACTAAGGTTACATTCTACTTATGTATTGGTCATTTGTGCCAGAATTTTTATAATTTAGAATTACCAGAGTGTGGTTTATCAATATATGCATTCTTGTGTATCTTTCAAATTTGTCATTAATTACAAAGTGCAAATGACCAATCGTGAATTATATTTTGCGGCTTTGTTGTGGTATGGGAATCCTTAAAAAAGATTAGATACTTGTCGTAATAATTTTCATGTAGCAATTTCTTGTATACTTAAATCTCATGCAAACTATACAATCCTTAACCCTTTCCCCCCTATGTAACTATAGTCGACTCTGCCATGCATTGATATGGATGAGTCCATTATAATCTACAGTGGTGAAAGGTTAAGCACCTTGGGGTTTTAGTACAACAAGTACGGTAGTGCGGATCACCTATTTCAACATCCAGTCGGACTCTTCAGAATGAAATTTATAATTTGAAAGCTGTTATTTCTGTTAAAATGACCGAGATCGAGTCTTGACATCTCTATGTTATAGTTTATGCAATATAAACAGTGTCTGAAGTAATTGGGGAATTTTTGTTTTGCAATGTCTTGCTCTGATGTGTTTATTCAATTCTATTTGTATGGAGATAAACTTGTGTGTCATGAGCTATGCTGACTTGCAATGCATGAAATAGTCTTGATTGTGTAATCTTCTGTAACACAAATGTCTGAAAGGATTGGTAACCATTAGTGTCTGAAACTGTTTAACATTGAATGTGAACTGCAACACAAACTGAGTGGCTCTGCATGCGGTTAACAGCTAAATGCATGTTGTCTTACTTAGAACATGATACACGCCTCCCCAGCGGCAGTGACGTCGAAGGAGTCTGGGAAGCGACCCGCACCTCCTGCCCCGCCCAGTGGGGGGCAGGACGACTCCGTAAGTTGAGTGGCCGTAGTGTTGTAACAGGACTTACTATTTAGACCAGTGTTGTACCAATAACAGCTGTAGCCTGGTAACCCTGTGTTGTGTGCATTTAGTTTTATTCTTACGAGGCCAAATTAGTAAAACGAAGTGTTTCAGGTATTCTGCATTCTCACATTGTTATCTTACTCCATAGGGCACTTTTATTTTTAGAAGATTCTTTTTTTTTTAAACGTTTGTGAGTAATATAACTTTTTAGTACGGAACAGTTTGTCACCACATATGAAGAAAATAATTAAAACAATTTTCTTTGTCGTTGAATCTGCATAAATAATCTGCCGGTGTATTTCTTGGCCTTCTTACAATCACTGAATTGAATTATACTATTAATGTTAAGAAAAGCTCTTATCATTTTGTGGAATTGATTGTAGTTATCAGAAGCATTGTTTCTAGTTTTATCAAGATATCCGCCTTATGTGATCAGATATTAATTTATAACCAGTAATATTAATTACGGAATACTGATCCGATGTTAATTTATAACTAGTAATACGTAATTATGGAATGCTATTTTCTACCGCTGCATGACTTTCCCAGGATGCCACTTGAAACACATCATCCCCTGATTTGGTCTTGTGTTCTTTTCACCTAGCCAGTAACATCTGTATGGCATGTATTTTGATCCATATTATTTGTAATCTTAATTCTCTTGTCTCAGAGGTGTTAACCAGCATACACGTGTGTTGGACAATATCTCTATTTCTTTCTTTACTTTCAAATATCTATATTTTTCTTTACTTTAAAATATCTCTATATATTTTCTTCACTTTTTCAGAAATACTGTTGATATCAACAATTTAATTTTTCCTTTTTAGTCAAATAAGTCCTCTACACAAATTTGTGGAAGAGTTAGTTGGTTTAACCTGTTTTTATAGTCGTCTTTCTTCTTCTGTCTTTAAGTTTTCAAGCTCTTTTCAAAAAAAACTACCAGGTGGATTCTAGTGAAATGTCACACGAGTATTGATGGGCATTTGTAGTTGCACAACTTTGTTTTTATCCAAAATCCAAAATGGCCACTATGACAGACTTATGATCGGCTAGAACATTGAGGGTTATTTCTTGAGGTCAATTTAGTGGATATTCAATCTTACACTTAGTGAGAGGAAGATGTTGGAAGTAAATTTTAGATAAATCTACTGCAAAGGAGATGCTGGGATATGTTGAGGTTATCACTTCAAAACTATAAAACTTAGGAATCCACTCTCAGAATTAAAACAAGTGCTATTTGCCAAGTTGTGATATTATTCTTATTTTCCATCCTTCCTCAGATGCATGCATAAAGCATGTTCCTTGATATTAAACAGATTTCTTTTTAGGTCACCTGAGCTTTGCTCAAGTGACCTATTCCAATCGCTTTTCGTCCGTCGTCGTCCGTCGTCCGTCGTCCGTCGTGCGTCGTGCGTCGTGCGTCGTGCGTAAACTTTTACATTTTCAACTTCTTCTCAAGAACCAGTGGATGGATTTTTTTCAAACTTGGTCAGAATCATCCTTGGTAGATGAGGCTTCAAAATTGTAAAATTGGGATTCCTACCCCCACCCCTGGGGCCAGGGCGGGGCCCCAAAGGGAAAATTAATCAATATTTCAAAAATCTTCTTCTCCAGACTCAGAGGTACTACAGTGATTTTCTCTACGTGGAAAGAAAGATCATCAGGGGCTTTACTTAAATTGTAAATTTCAGGACCCCCGAGCTATCCGTTCTCCCTTGGGGAGGGGGTAAAGTTTACTATAGTTTATATAGGGAAATAACACTTTTGGGTATATTTTGACAACTTTCTGTAGGAAATTATTTTTACTTGGTGAGAATTATCCTTGGAGGTAGATGGTTTCAAATTGTAAAATTGAGATTCCTACCCCGACCCCTGGGGCCAGGGCGGGGCCCCAAAGGGAAAATTAATCAATATTTCAAAAATCTTCTTCTCCAGACTCAGAGGTACTACAGTGATTTTCTCTACGTGGAAAGAAAGATCATCAGGGGCTTTACTTAAATTGTAAATTTCAGGACCCCCGAGCTATCCGTTCTCCCTTGGGGAGGGGGTAAAGTTTACTATAGTTTATATAGGGAAATAACACTTTTGGGTATATTTTGACAACTTTCTGTAGGAAATTATTTTTACTTGGTGAGAATTATCCTTGGAGGTAGATGGTTTCAAATTGTAAAATTGAGATTCCTACCCCGACCCCTGGGGCCAGGGCGGGGCCCCAAAGGGAAAATTAATCAATATTTCAAAAATCTTCTTCTCCAGACTCAGAGGTACTACAGTGATTTTCTCTACGTGGAAAGAAAGATCATCAGGGGCTTTACTTAAATTGTAAATTTCAGGACCCCCGAGCTATCCGTTCTCCCTTGGGGAGGGGGTAAAGTTTACTATAGTTTATATAGGGAAATAACACTTTTGGGTATATTTTGACAACTTTCTGTAGGAAATTATTTTTACTTGGTGAGAATTATCCTTGGAGGTAGATGGTTTCAAATTGTAAAATTGAGATTCCTACCCCGACCCCTGGGGCCAGGGCGGGGCCCCAAAGGGAAAATTAATCAATATTTCAAAAATCTTCTTCTCCAGACTCAGAGGTACTACAGTGATTTTCTCTACGTGGAAAGAAAGATCATCAGGGGCTTTACTTAAATTGTAAATTTCAGGACCCCCGAGCTATCCGTTCTCCCTTGGGGAGGGGGTAAAGTTTACTATAGTTTATATAGGGAAATAACACTTTTGGGTATATTTTGACAACTTTCTGTAGGAAATTATTTTTACTTGGTGAGAATTATCCTTGGAGGTAGATGGTTTCAAATTGTAAAATTGAGATTCCTACCCCGACCCCTGGGGCCAGGGCGGGGCCCCAAAGGGAAAATTAATCAATATTTCAAAAATCTTCTTCTCCAGACTCAGAGGTACTACAGTGATTTTCTCTACGTGGAAAGAAAGATCATCAGGGGCTTTACTTAAATTGTAAATTTCAGGACCCCCGAGCTATCCGTTCTCCCTTGGGGAGGGGGTAAAGTTTACTATAGTTTATATAGGGAAATAACACTTTTGGGTATATTTTGACAACTTTCTGTAGGAAATTATTTTTACTTGGTGAGAATTATCCTTGGAGGTAGATGGTTTCAAATTGTAAAATTGAGATTCCTACCCCGACCCCTGGGGCCAGGGCGGGGCCCCAAAGGGAAAATTAATCAATATTTCAAAAATCTTCTTCTCCAGACTCAGAGGTACTACAGTGATTTTCTCTACGTGGAAAGAAAGATCATCAGGGGCTTTACTTAAATTGTAAATTTCAGGACCCCCGAGCTATCCGTTCTCCCTTGGGGAGGGGGTAAAGTTTACTATAGTTTATATAGGGAAATAACACTTTTGGGTATATTTTGACAACTTTCTGTAGGAAATTATTTTTACTTGGTGAGAATTATCCTTGGAGGTAGATGGTTTCAAATTGTAAAATTGAGATTCCTACCCCGACCCCTGGGGCCAGGGCGGGGCCCCAAAGGGAAAATTAATCAATATTTCAAAAATCTTCTTCTCCAGACTCAGAGGTACTACAGTGATTTTCTTTACGTGGAAAGAAAGATCATCAGGGGCTTTATTTAAATTGAAAATATCAGGACCCCGAGCTATCCGTTCTCCCTTGGGGAGGGGTTAACGTTTAATATAGTTTATATAGGGAAATAACACTTTTCGGTATATATTTTATATATTTTCAGCAGAAAATTGCTCAAACTTAGTCAGAATCATCTTGGGTAAATGAGAGTTTTACTTTGTAAAATTAGGATTCCTGCCCCATCCCCAGGGGCTAGAGCGGGGCCCCAAAGGAAACATTTACCAATATTTTCAAATTCTTATCCATTGATGACATGACAAGTATTGAATTTCACTTAGTTTACATGCTGATTTCCACATCACATCTAAACAATAAAATAAAGCTACCAGTATCTATGATATAACTCAGGTGACCGCTAAGGCCCTTGGGCCTCTTGTTATCTTTTAATTTATATTATGTAAAATATATTGTTCTAAGGACATTGATAAGAGATGTAAAACATCTAAAGGTTTAGGGCCGTAGCATCAGTGTCTTTACAAACTTTGCTTCTGTTTCTTCTCACTATTTGTTGTATCATACGAAACACAAAATCAAAACCTTTGATTATCTAAGATATCATTGTTTTACAAATAGCAATTAAGATATATCCATTTGGATAATCGTTTTTTTCTTCAGTTTTGATATTTCTTAATATATATGAAGGTGATTTTGTTTTCTTAAAATTTATTTCTTGATTAAAACAATTGGACAATGAATTATATTTACAGTTATGTAATTTTAAAGGATATATTATCCAATGCAAAAATCTTGTTAATCTGTGAGAATTATCTCCCCTCATTTTCACTTTTGTCAGATAGTTCAGGTTAGGCATTAACACAACAAGTGATAGGTTCAGAAAATGCATACATGTCATATGATATTTTTTTTCTATAATTAATTGAAAAACGGGTCTTTAAATGGATTTGAGTTTTGAGAGTAAGGATGACTCTTGACTAGTCAATGGTGTGTGTTTCTATAGTTCTGTGTTACTGTTACGTAGAATCGACACTCAAACTATGAGAAACGCCCTGCCCCCGCGCCTCCTGATAACAGAACGGTAATCAGTGCCTCGTACGACGACGTAAGTTTCGGACCAATAAAGAGAAGGTCTCTAGCTTTAATTTCATTTCGTTCACTGTACATATATGATTTTGCTTGAATTTTCACAGATATTTTACTAAAAAAATATCATAATATAGGGGTAGAGATATATAGACAATTGTTTTTATCAAAAAAATATTTATAATTTTCATCGTCAATCTATATTAACTGATCATGACATAATATTCTAAAATGAATTCTGAACTACTTTTTTTAGACAAAAACCTTTTGATATTTTGTAAATTGTGTGTGTTGTAACTAGGTGTTACATTGTAATTCACACATACAATGTCAACAGGTTATTATAAACAATGGAGGTAAAATGCCAGCCCTTGCCAGCAGAGGGACTGAAGAGTCTGTAAGTGGTGTTGTGTGGCACTTACACAGATTATAACCCCAGTGTTTCATGTTGATAGAAAATACTAGATGGAACTCAAGAGTTTTCATTAACAAATCCTATACTGTAAACATCAAATTTACATGCCGGTCTGACAAAGTTACACTTATAACCCGGAGATAAATTCACAGTTTTGGTTCATCTTGCTCATGTAGATGTGCATAATTTGTTGACGTCTTTCTCGTAAGTCTACTGCGATGTGATGAGTCTACTGCGACCTTGTGACAGGTCTACGGTGACCAAGTGATAAGTCTACCACGACCTTGTGATAAGTCTACCGCATCCCATGTGAATTACCACCATGTGTATAGTTTTACAAAGGAAATGTGAACTTTTCGTCCAGCAGTAAAATTTGTGTTTACAGTGAATTTTTCCCTTGGCATATTAATTGCTTTTAAACATATCTTATCTTATTTAGATTCATACTAGATGTTTAATCAGCTGAATTTTTGACATTATTCGCTTTCTTGCATTTTGTCAGCAAGTCGGTTTTCCTTGTACGTGTATATTCCATTTTCCTACTTACATTTTGTCGTTTTTGATACTTAAGGTGGCTCCACACTTTCGCAATTAACCAGCAAAATTCGTTGAAACTTTCATATAATGGTTATGCAACTATGTAGAGTTGATTTTATGAAAATCTAAACATTCCGATAGCCATGGGACTTTTTTGGAAAAAATACAAAAAAATGAATTTTCGTCAATTTTAATATTTTCCGGGTTTTTTTGTGTGTGGCATTGTTCGGAACAATAACAACAATAATAAAATGAAAAGAAGCATTTCTAATTAACCCTACAAATATTTTATTTATCGCAAAATATGTAACACATGTTACACAAAGTGTTTTTTATTGAATTTGTACGGATAAAAGTGATTATCTACAAGCTAAAAGTAAACAGGACACACAGATCTATACATATAGAATGGGTAATTGAACAAAATATACACAATGGCTTTAGAATTAATTTATTTGACATTTTACAATCACTTTGATCCGGGTGAGAGTTATCTTCCTTGAAAAAAATCGGAACTTTTTGCAGAGGGGTGACATTTACACAATGACAGTTGTCTCTGTTTACATATAACAAA